GCGCGTTAGAATCGAGTACGAACAAAAAATTACGGTCAATCTATTGCCATCGCAAATCCAAAATGGCCGCCCCCTACGTGCGTCGGCATGGTGCGGTTCGGCTATTTCTGCCTATGTGTTTACCATGTGCGGCACTTCGTACGTGTGCTGAGGAGTTCGTCATCTAGTAGTGCATTAGCATCGACGACGTGAAAGGGCCGACTCCAAAAACTCAAGTGCTCCACGATGCCGCTTTTAAAAGAAAAGTCATCGCGTGTGCAAAAACGGACGGAAGTCGGGCCGCATCGCGGTCGTTCCCGAAACGTGCGTGCGGGACCGGCGGAAACAAAAGCAGAAGATTGTCGACAGCAAAGCTTCACGCAAAGGCTTCAGTGAACCACAGCAGGGTCAGTTTCCGCAAATTAAAGAGCTGCTCCGCGAGTATGTGCTTGAGGAGCGAGCGGCACAGCGGCCCGTGACGACAGAACTGCTCCAAGTGCGGGCTATGCAATTAGTCTTAGAAAAAGGTCTAATGCGGAGCCAGTTTAAAGCGAGCAGGTGCTGGCTAACTAACTTTATGAAGAGGAAAGGCTCTTCCCTTCGAAGGGGAACATGCATATGCGAAAACTTTTGCGGAGAAGTACGATGAAAAGCTTTACAGTTTTCAAAGGTTCGTCCTAAACTTGCGGCGCAACAACGGCTACCTGCTTGGGCAAATCTGGAATGCCGATCAGACGCCTCTTTACTTCGACATGCCTGGCACCACAACTGTCGAGAAGAAGGGGGCAAAGCAAGTTCGCGTGCTGACATCGGTCCACGGTAAAACTACAGTGACGGCAATGCTCTGTTACACGTCAGATGGGCACAAGCTTCGCCCGTACCTCATATTTAGATGGAAGACAATTCCGAAAGGAATCGTTTTTTCGAGTGGTGTGATCGTGCGGGCCAGCGAAAAAAAATGGGTGCGCGTTGCAATCGATGTCTTACGTTTTTTTTTTTTTTTTTCGCGGTGGAAATCGGGTGCGCGTTACAATCGAGGGCGCGGTAGAATCGAGTAAATACGGTACTCCTCGCATCTCCTTCAATTCTGCACCACTATGATCCCAACGCGCCTACAGAAATACACACAGACGCTAGCGGTGTCGACCTTGGCGCGGTACTCGTTCAGCGAAAACCAGACTTTGGCAGGTACGTTGCAGCATATGCCAGTCGTACCCTCACAAAGGCGGAGTCAAATTACTCTGTCACAGAAAAGAAGTGTTTGGCAATTGTTTGGGCAATCAGTAAATTTCGCACCTACCTCTATGGGCGTCAGTTTGATGTTGTTACCCACCACCATGCGCTATGCTGGCTGTCGTCCTTGAAAGACCCGACTGGACGCCTGGCTCGCTGGGCTTTACGATTACAGGACTTTGACATACATGTGATTTATCGCTCTGGACAAAAACACTCAGATGCTGACGCCCTATCTCGATCGCCACTGCCTTCAGACTCTGCCGGCTCACCAGCTTCTAGTTGTTATTCATCATCTCTGACCATCACCGACATGCCGGAAGAACAGCGCAAAGATCTCTGGATCGCTTCCCTGCTTGACATTTGTCTCAACGGGCCCCAAACTCTGCCTTACACACCCTACGTCGTCAAGTCCAACGCTTCGCACTTCCTGAAGGCTTGCTGTATCATTGCAATTACCTGACCGGCAGCCGCAGGTGGCTCCTCGTGATCCCTGTCATTTGCGCGTGAAGTGCCTTTCACAACGAATCTCAGTGCAGTCACGCTGGCTCGTTCAAGATGTACTCACGTCTTCGCCTGAGGTACTACTGACGAGGCAGGTATCGATACGTTCACCAGTACATTCAGTCGTGCCCTGCGTGCCAACGTTGCAAGGTTCATATTCGCAGCACCGCTGGTCCTCTACAGCCATTGCCCTGCCCTGCCCGACCATTCGACGGCGTCAGAGTCAATCTCTTCGGCCCACTCCCGACCACTATCGACGGCAACCGCTGGATAATATTCGCCATCGACCACCTCACGCGATACGCAGAAACATCTGTGCTACCTGCCACCACAGCGAAAGAAGTCGCATGGTTCCTTCTTCGTCATCTCATTCTACGCCATGGGGCCTCATGTGAATTCTTAGTGACCGTGGTCGCGTCTTCCTCTCAAATTCCGTCGAGGTTCTGCTCAAAGAATACCGCATTGTACATCGCACCACTTCCACATACCATCCTAAGAATAATGGCATGACGGAACGCTTCAATCGTACATTTGCCGACATGCTGGCGATGTACATGTTGGAAGACCACACAAACTGGGACCGCGTACTCCCTTTCGTCACCTACGCATACAACTCTGCGTCTTAAACTACCACTGGCTTCTCTCCCTTCTTTCTCCTGTATAGATGTGAACCTTCATGTTCTATGGATACCATTCTGCCGTACCAACCGGACGTTTCTGAGGACAAACCCATCACTCAAGCTGCTGCTTATGCTGAAGAATGCTGTAAACTGGCTCGCTCGCTCGTACGCCACGCAAGATCAGTCGCGCCAAAAATTCCATCATGACACCTCTGCGTCTGGTGCCCATTACTCCCCGGGAAAGCTGGTTTGGCTTTGGGTCCCGTCCACAACTCCCAGACTTTTCACCAAGCTTTTGTCACGGTACCACGGTCCTTACCGCATACTAGAGCAGACATCTCCCGTAAACTACGTCGTCGAGCTGGTCGACCCATCGCCCGATCATCACTGCCAAGGCCGCGAAACAGTTCACGTCATGCGACTTAAACCCTGTTACGACCCACCTATAGCGTCTTTTCCTTAAGTCACCATCACCAGGATGGCTCCTCTTTGTGCGGGGAGCAAATTGTACCGGTGCACATCGGCGCTAGCTCTGTGCCAGTGAAAGAAAAAACAATGTTCGTGTGTCGCACTCTCGGCCTCTTTTCTGTGCTGCAGCTGTCTTGCTTGCACTGGCGAGTTTCTTGCTGAAACTCCTCTGAAGAACACGCTTGTTACATTATTATTATTATTATTATTAATATTATTATTATTATTTTGTAACTTGCATGCTATTACAAGTGCACTGTATCATAGTGTAAGATTTTCGTGTTTTCGTGTTTTGCATCAAATAGCTAGCAGGGCTTCTAAATATTATTTTGATAATTTATTCCTTGTTCGGCCTATATATTGCTTCTTTCTTGGCGATTTGTATCGAATACTGTAATCCAACATGCCCCCCCCCCCCCCCCATTGTGATGACCACTTACCTTTGCAATTTCACGAAATAAAATGTTCTTTAAAGCTTTTCAATTTGTACTGCGACAATTTTTCACCTGCAGCACGGTGATTTCATTGAATATTTTCAAATGAATGCACCATTATATCATAAAAGTGAACTTGGAAATCGTTTTCCACAGCACAAACAGATTAGTTTTCAAAAAACTGCTCTCCATAAAAAACTAGGGAATTTCTTCACTACGGGAAGGAAAAAATTGACTCCGCAGGTTAGCAGCACTGCAGTGAGCGTTCGTGGTGCGTACTTGCTGAAAGATCCTCTTTTAGGAAAACTCAGCCGTGCCAACATCGCAGACCTGAAGCCCTTCGGCACCATCTGACGAGCTCGCGCCAGCGCCTTGCGGCACTGTGCCCAAGCAGTGGGGCACACCAGGGGCGACGGACCGCATTCGGACCTCGTACCGGTATAATCGGAGGAAGCGCTCATCTCTGTGATTTCGTGCCGGACAGCGGACTTCTCCGGAACCGAAGGCCCTCAGTCTCTAGCCTCAGTACGGTTAGCTTCTTTACGACCTGTTCTCGTAAAGAAGTCAACCCTGCCTAGTTTGCTGCCAGTGTTTCTTTTTTTTTTAGGTGTTAATGTGTATTTTATGTTTTTACCCTTTCTTTTGTCTAATAGTAGGTGTTTATATTTATTTGATGTTATTATTTTCTTTTGGCAGCATATTGAGTGTCAATTTGTGCTCTGTTTTACTTTTTCTTCCGTGTTTATTTCGGCTACCGGTGAAGGGAGTTGTGACCTTAAACATTTCTGCTTATGCTTAGAGATAGGGACGAAGGACACTTTGTGCCTTTGCATGCCCAGCCGTCGGCGGTGTAGGCGTGCGTGCATGCTTCTGTGCGTCTATACGTGCGTTGCACTTCTGTACATGCGTGGCACTTCTGTATGTGCGTGGAATTTCTGTGTGTGCCCATGAAGAGTGCGTGTCGTGGTTTCATCCCGTCGACGTGGACACTAGAGGTGCTGGGGGCCCTAACCTATCCCTAAAGGGAACAACTGTGTCTAGCACGATTGGTTTCGAACTTGTACTGTGCAGCGTTATTCAACTCCCAGTAAACAGAACTTCTGTTAAATAGAACATCTTTTCCTGGTCCATGAGAGCCTACTCTATTTCCACCACGGATATGATGATAAAATGCACGCTGCTAAACGAGGAAGAAAAAACTGAAAGAGAGCATTCTCCCGCTGGGAATCAAACCTCCGAATCCTTGACGCATAACAAGCAGTGCCCGGCATACAATCAACTAAGCTGCCAAAGGACCTAGGCAGAAGTTGGCAAACGTGCCTTTTATCTTTCAAATATTCTCTCATGCATAATTCTCTCTGTTAGCCGAGCAGGATGGTCCCGCTATCTGTGAGTGGTGAAGAGTAATGATGCGGCATGACACTTATTATTGCCGATAGAAAACAATTCGTCAACGACACATGTAAAGGATGGCATCCGAGATTGCACACTGGCGCGCAATTCATTGTAGTCATAGACATTAGTCCTCGTGATGGAGGACTAATGTCACCTGCCATTAGGCGACAAAGCAGGTGCGTCCGCATAAAATGGTGCTATAGCTCCTAAACAAACACTAGTAGACATACTACGACCTCTCATAATCACTACTAAAAAAGCATTAGTGTGAAAACGCTTTCAACTTTCGTGTAGTGCCGATTGCTACGGCTAAGAGGCAAGCGATACGCGCATGCTGAACTGGGATTGCAGTGTGTGTGGCACTCACCTCGTTGTTTAGCTTGACAGCTCCTTCCAGGGAGGCTCCCGTGTACATCGAGCAGAAATCGTACAAACCGTCAAACACAGGGCTGAAAACACAGTTTCGTGACTCTCTAGCAACATATTTTCAATATGCACTCAAGTTGTGCATTATTAAAGGGGCCTTGCAACACTTTTCCAGCACGGTCAGAAAACGCAGCAAATCAGTAGTCGAGGCTCCCGAGAACAAGCGAGCCAAGTATCCGCGCTGCACACGGCCTTGAATTCACAATAAATCCTGAAATTCGGCGAAAATCCCCATCTTATCTCAACAAATGATGCTATGTATTTGAAAATTGTTGTATCAAGGCTATCTGTCAAATCTATCACGCCATTGGCTGATTGAGCACGATACGCTCAAGAGTTACTAAGGCCCCAACAGGAGGCACTGACATGTTTGTGCGTGTGTACGCAATGGTGTTGAAAAGCCGTGCGTTTAAAAAAAGAGAAAAAGTGCTCAAGGTCATGAGGTGACATGAAGTACCTTCTTCCTCCCTGCTTAGCTTCCAGCGCTTCCGTCGGAACAAGAGAAGAGAGAAAGCAATTGCAGCGTGCGACAAATATTTATAAATCCGCTCATACTTAATGAAGTGTAAAACGATTTCTACAGCACTACCTTGGTGAGACAATAAGCTCCTTCACTGAATCATTTCATGGCTACTGGGAAAAGTTTTGCAGGGCTCCTTTAAGATCGTGCTTCCCTAAAACCAAGTGCATTTGCATAGGAGGCCACTAGATACATGAGAGATCTTTAAATCATTCCCCGCATTAAATCACCTCTTCACTACTAGATTTCACAATTTCCCTCTTCCACAGACTGATGAACACCATGATAATTGCTACTTGAGCGAGTTGGTACAGATTTATCTTGATTTTAGTAGCGCACTGGGGAATGGGGAAAAGCATTGACCCACAAATCAGAGGAATTGGCAGTGTTCACAGCATTTGGAGCATCAAGCACCCTTTTCAGTATATTGAATGCATAATGTCCATCGTGTATCTAATCTAACTATCATGCAGAAAATCTTATATTATACAGAGCAGAAAATGCATCAATATTCGTCTTAGGGAGCATGAACGATTACTATCAAACACCAAAGCATTTTCACTCACCGTCCATTGTAAACAGTGTGGTTGCATACCATTCATTGCCGACACTAAAATGCTGTCGCGTCATAATCAACAATCAGCAAGAGAGATCATTGAAGCGTTCCATATCCAAGGAAAAGGGGATAAGTGTATCAGTGTACCTTGGGCCATGCTAAGTGATGCGGAATACCATTACCCAAGTGCCACCTGCACATGTTGATATCAATGATTATCTGTTTTCTGTTCATTTTGTCACCTTTATATTTACATGTTCTTTCTTAATAAAATTCACTTGCAAGTCAGTGCTTGTGTTGTGCCCTTACTTTCTTCTAGTCTTCGTTCCCCAGTGCGTTGTTAAAATCAAGATCACAAACACCATTTTTCTTCCACTCTCCCGCACCTCACACCGTCTGCTCAATAGCCTCTGGATACAACGCTTGCCCGACTCTTCTAAAGCCTTCATCGATTTCTTCTTACTGGCTGCTATTGAACGCACTTCAAAGATATAGCTACTGAAATATATGCCACAACACTTAGGTACACACTCAATATTTTGAACCACTAACCACCACACTGTTCTTTCATTTAAGCAAAACTGCGATTTGGCCAAGTTGGAACATTCATCTTTTTCCACAAGCACATGGGGACAAAAAATGAGAAACACAAACGGGTGCAATCTAACAACTGGTCAGATGACACTGCCAGCTTGCTTTCTAGCGAATTAAGAGGAACATGACCATGTGGACACCCTGGCCAGCCACGATGGCATGAAATTTTGTGATGTCATTGTATATAGAGCACGGAGCAGCGGCTGTGAGTACGTTTTGTGCGTTATTTATGCGTGAGAAATGTGGGGCATGTTTCGATCTGCTTGCCAATCTGTGCGTGACCTTCAAATTTGTTGCTCTCACGTTCATTGTTTTGCCTTTGCAGCAAGACTGTGACTTTTTTCACTAAATTCCCCAGTTCCAAGTATGTGCCTGTTGTTTTTCCACCCTTGTCCACATAGCGCTTAGGTAGGTAGGTGAACACCTTTATCATGAATTCATGAAAGAATCACGTGAAAGGGGCTGTGTGAGGGTGACAAGGTGGAAGCAGGAATACCATTGGACCCCTCTACACAGTGGCGGATACAGAGGGGGAGTTGTAGGGGCAGTAGCCCACCCCCTCAAAGTATGTGTGAGCACCCCTGCTCACTTCACTGCTTGTTGTCTACGTCCTATCACTAATTAGGACAAATGAGTGAAACCAAAATGAGCACACATTCACAGTACTTATGTTATGAGGGGGTTTTTCTGCTAGTAAAAACAAGAAGTCATGACCACACACCCTTCTACAATGTTACTTCAGACGACCGCACACCCCCCCCCCCCCCTTAAAGTGGGTGGCTGGATCCGTGCCCGCCTCTACATAGCTGGACAATTCTGTGCTTAGGCGACACCTCTCGCCCAGCCCACCGTGCAGAGCTGGAACTGCAGTTACGAGATGCAGAGAGCAGCCTCCCATCGTTCCTGGTGTTCTGACCATTACCACGAGGGCTTGGGTTTGTTCAGGCGATTCACAAAGATGTGGTTTAAGTCTGTTCTGCTGTTCAAGCAGAGGTTGCAGTGAGGAGAGGTTGTGCCATGTTGTAAGGGAGAAAAGGAAAGGAGTTGTTAATGGCCCTTTGAAGTCCAAGTGACAAAACCTGATCCCTTCTATAAAGAGATTTGTGTGGTGTGGGATATGTCAGGTGGAAACTTCTGTAAAACACAATGTGACATTGTAATAACTGAGGAGTCAATCTTTGGTACTGCAAAGTGAAGGAAGGTCAATTTCAGTGTGGCTGACGAGTGCTTGGGCACAGCTGTGAGTGCCCTAGGTGTCCACAGTACGCAGGAACCCAAAGAAAGGTGACAAGGTGAAGATGACTGAAGAATTCTAGCAGCCGAAAAGTAGTTTTTCAGAATGACGTAATTGCAAAATGCAGTTTTAGAATAGGAGAAAATATCTTCTGCCAAATTCGGAATTGATTCACTAACAATCCGGTTTTGAAATCCGTCTAATGTGGCTAATATGAAAGCCAGATGATGCCCATATTTGGCTAGGATAAGAGGGCAAGTGTTTGTGAAGAGCCTTGGCTCTCGCTCGATGATGCGCTAGGTGGGTGTCTTTGGGCAGTAACGGAATGCATAGCTAACAGCGATGGAAAGTGCATGCATGGCCACCGTCTCACCCGGAACGTCGATTCCGAGAACTTGTTTTGACCAGTTTTCCCTTAGTTTTGAGCACCCTCAGTTAATTTAGGGAACTGGAGAGCATTCTCTCGAGTTGCTCGATCTCTGTAAGCAATTCTGTAGAGGCAAAAGACCTGAATGTTTCTACTTCTCTCATGCCACCACAATGACTGGAAAGGAATTATGAACCACAGTGCGGATTAGTACTGTAAATAACAAGGCCCAAGACTTTATTAACCCTGCAAATGGGATGTCATCTAGTGTGTCATGAATACTAATGCTTTTATTGAGGTCAACTACCAGAAGCTCTGACTCAGTTATTGGTGTGCTTAGCAACAATGTCAGAGGCCAACTGTAGTTCTGATTAGATTTTGACATGGCTGCTGGCCTCGAACCAGACGATGACGTCGTCCACATACAAGAAAAAAGTGATTGATAGAAGGAAGTCTAAAAAGTTCTTGTACCAACAGGATAAGAGTAACATAAGAAAGAAATGGGTACACTCCAAGAAACATTTACTGGCTTTTTAGGATCAGTTTTGAATGAGTCTTAATTTCAGGTAGACAGACATATGGCTGAGAAAGGCAGGCTTACGTTTAGGTGGCTAAGAGAATGTACATTCGAGAAGTGAGAAACATTATCAGGAGCTTTGGTCAGGTCCAATGTAAGGACGGCTCTAGTGATGTGCGGAAAAACCGGATTGAGCTGAACCATATTAAGCTGTAACATGATGATGATATGTAGGGTTTATTGTCCCAAAACCACCATATGATTATGAGAGGTGGCGTAGTGGAGGGCTCCAGAAATTTCGACCACCTGGGGTTCTCAAATGTGCACCCAAATCTGAGCATATGGGCCTACAATATTTTACCCTCCATCGGAAATCAAGCTGCCTCAGCCAGGATTCGATCCCGCGACATGTGGGTCAGCAGGTAAGTACCTTAGCCACTAGACGACCTCAGTGGGGTGTCACAGAACGAGCACTAAAAATGGGCGCGCCGCCAAATTGTCGCGACGAAACGCCGGAGTGGCGCTGCGAGGTCAAAAGAAAAAGAAAACAAACATCTAAAGGCTCCCCGGGGCGCGCGCTCTCCCCTCGGAAGCGTGGCTTCGCCGACGAACCTCCTCGCCCCACATCGGCGGCCGAGATAGCCCGCGAAAGTTCTAGAACGAAAGGGGCGTGGTCATACCGAGTTGAGTCATCGGCCGCGGAGGGCATTCCAACCGTCTCGCCCTCTTCCCAGCCTTCGCTGCGTATCGCGCCGACGAAATGACGAGAACCGTCTGGAATGTCGCGCGCAAGGTATTTAACCGAGCAGCCGAGATGAGAGATCAGGAGAAGACGGAAGTTAACGCCAGAGCGCGTAGGGTATACCACCGAGTAGTCGGCGAAGGTGTTGTCCGTAGAGACAAAGCAGGAGATGAAGAGGATTTCCACCTGAAGGGTGACGACTCGAGCTACAGGCAAGAGTGTGTGTTTACCGCTATCGAGCGAAGACGCGTGGCGACAGCTGCGTGTGTGAAGCCGACGTGTTTCGGCGAAGAAGTTTGAAGCTTGGAGAGTGGCCTATTGAAGACGGGAAGTTTCCTGGAGGGGAAACTTCGGCGAGGTTTCCTGGAAGAGAAACTTCGAAAGCTGCGGAACGACAACCACGCTGGACTTTGAGTGAGTGATTCTCGGAAGAATATCATCTAGACTTTGGTTCCAAGAACTTTGGACTGGATAGGTTTTCTATCTCTTTAGT